AATTTGTCTGACTTCCAACAAATTGGATTTCATTATATCTCTGTCTGCAAGACTGCAAATCTATTCATTATCATAGCTTTCCATGTCTAAGGACTTCAGTAAAATAATAAGGTAATCCTTCAATCTTCTCTTTGATAAACTGAATAGATAAATTCTTGGTGTTCACATGAGAAGNTTTTTTTTTTTTTTTTTTTTTTTTTTTTTTTTTTTTTTGAGCTGCTCTTTAAATGTAAGCTGTGCTGCTAAAAGTGATTTCAAAGGGGCTGGAAAACACTTGGTAATCTCTTCCTAACAAGTTGTACATTTAACACAGGGCACATGGAAAATTTCAAGAGTCCTGCTCAGCCATTCCTGGATGCCAGTGACCTCCTCCTGTTCGATTGCAAGTGCTGTATCAGAAGCTGCAGGTAGGAGCTGTGCTTGAGGAGAGAAACCTCCAGGTGACAGATGTTAGTTGTGGTAGGATTTGCTTGCCTAAACAGAGGGTGTGCAATCCTGTTCAGGTTGAGGCAAAATATCCCACATGACCCCTGCTGTTCTGCTGGGTTTCTCTTATGTCCTGTCCCAAGCAGAAGAATTCAGTTCCTTAGAACACTTAAAATAGTACCTCTTTATATATATATATATATATATATATATTTTTTTTTTTTTAATATTTGAATTTCACCCTCTGTGTCATTCAGGAGAATTTAAGAGCATCCTCAGAATTTTGGAATTTAATTTTTGGAATTTTCATTATGGAATTTAAGAGCATCCTCAGAATGTTGCCATTATGCAGGTCCTATATCAGTGGTGAATTTTACCAAAAAGATATTCCAGAATAACTAACCAGAAGGAGGGGAGTCACACCTGTAAGTTATCTTACTAATAAAGATGTGGCTTGATGAAAATCTGTATAATCTATTGCATTTTTATCTCTGCTGTTGAGTTTTAATCCCCCTAAATTGTGCCCCATCTATTCCATAAATTTTGGTTTTTTTCTAGGTGCTGTATTGTACTAAATCAAATTCCCAGGAGAAATCCAGCAAATTCTTTTTATCAGCAAAGTTGTTGTAATTAACCAGACTTGTAATCTTGCCAAAAAAGATTAAAGGTTTATTTGACAAGACCTACTTTCCACAAAACTTAGTTGCCTGATATTATTTACATTTTTACTTTCTAATGTTTGATTAATGAAATCCCAGATTAATTGTTCCATCAAAGAATTAGCCTAAATGGCCTGCTGTTCACTTGTCTATTTCATTTTTCTCTTTTAACATATATAAATTATATAAATGGCAGCCCTGCAGCAATACAGATTGTAATTTAGATTTTTTTCTTTTTTTAAGAGATATTAGATATTAACATAAGTCATTTACAAAAAAATCCATAGCTTATTTACTACTCTTGCAGAAATTATCCTGTTGGTTTTTAAATGTTTATGTTCAACACATAGTGCTTAATACTTCTCTTTCCTTGGAGGATGAGCCTTATTGCCTACCTCCATTATTGCATAATCCACATAAATTTCTCTGCCTCCATCTAAATCTTTCTAGGCAAGAGCAAAAATCAGCACTGAAAAAAACAGATTATGCATGTAAATGGATGTAATGGATGGATGTAAATCTGAAGCTTCCCAGTGGCAGCCAGGAAGCATTTTTGGGATTTTCTCTATTGGTTTTTAAGTCATCACTGCTTGTGAAAACACTTTCACAAAAATAAAGGTATAATGAACATGCACTGTGGGCCAACCTGATGTGTTATTATGCCTAAAGAATTTAAACTTTTGGATTCCATTCATATCTCTCTGGCATGAAAAATTATCATTGCCTCTGATAATTGTAACTCCTTGTGCTCATTTTCTCTCTCATCTTTTTTTTTTTTCCAATTGTGCATTCACACTATAATCTCTCTGGAGCAAAGGTTGTGCTGTGTAGTCAGTAATACCTACTGGGCTCCTATTAAAATTATGGGTTTAATGTGTTACCTCCACACAAATAACTGGTAATACCAATGACTGATAGGACAGGCTGCTGATGGTATAACTCAGATGACCTCCCTTACATCCTTACAGCTTTCATCTCATCAGAAAGCTCTCAAAACACCACAGCCAGTTTGTTACAGAAAACAGCTTATTTGAAATTTTAATTAGAATGCAAAACAGATGTGATCCTTGCTACCTGCTATTTATTGGCTCTGGGCAATGATTTCTGTCCTCCAACAGCAACCTAAATACAAACAGCTTTATAATGTCCAACCACATCTGTAATTTATCTTTGTTTTTTTTTTTCTTTCTTCCTTTCTCTTGTGCCATTTCATATGTATCTTTTTTTTTCTTTCCTTTTTTCCCTGTTTAAGTGTATTTGTGTATCAAATATAGATATAATAAATAAAAATAGTATATATACATTTATAGTTAACAACTCAAGCTACTGCAAATCCTTCTTCCCCAACATCCCAGCTGTACTCTCCCCTCATCTCCATCCTGCTTCTAAGTGCTGGAACCTGCACTTCACCCAGGATATTTTTAAGGAGCCTCTGCGCCCAAACACATGGCTCAGCAATGTCTTTATTTATAAAGGTCTGTGTAGGTAGCAAAACTGTTGCAGATATGAATATGTGTATAAGATGAGTATGAAGACCCAGTTTGGAGGCGACAGGAGAGACACTGTACAGCCACAGACTGATTCCTCAGAACATGCTCTGTGGGCTGGAAATGGAACTTTAGACCCTATACCCTTTAATAGAAGTTGGACTCATCAAATTAGGATGAGCTCTTCAGGAGGTAGGACCAACCTCCTCCCTTGTCTTCAAATGCTTTTCTTCTCGGTCTTCCCTCTTCCAACCCTTTGGCTTCAGCAGTATTTGCTTCAACTCACTACTTTGATGAACCCAGCAGGCCACAGGCAGAGGTGATGTTTTAAGTATAGAGGATGTGAGCAGCACACTAGGAGGTGTTATGAGTCTAAGAACTGATCTGTACAACCTCATTCATTTTCAAGGGCTATTGGCATCAGTGAGATCTCTTGCATTGTCAAAGTATTCACCAATGTTAGGGCTGCACATGCTAGGCCAGAAGAGAGACATCATTCTGCCCTCTGAGTTGTTGCTAAAATTTCTAAAATTTCTCTGATCTAAACCAGTCACACTCTGTAAAAATATTTGTCCCAGTAAATAAAACTGTCAGATTTTATATTCTTATAGCATCAAACTGACCCAGTCATTCCTGGGTGTTGACCCAGTAATTGATTTTGAAGACCATTGATTACTGGGCCCAGTTGTGTTTATCTTTATTGATGACCTGGAGGAGGAGACCAAATGTTTCCTCAATAAATTTGTGGCTGACACTGAATTGGGTGGGAGTGTGGTACTGCTGGAGTACAGGAGAGCTCTGTGGAGGGATCTGGGTATGTGGGTGGAGATCAATGGTATGAAGTTCAACAAGGCTGAGTGCTGGGTCCTGCACGTGAGCCACATCACCCCGTGCTGCAGTCTGGGGGAAGAGTGGCTGGAAAACCGCCCAGCACAAAAGGACCTCAGAGTGCTGGCCAACAGTGGCTGAACATGAGCTAGCATGTGCTCAGGTGGCCAGGAAGGCCGTTGGCATCCTGGTTTATATAAAAAATAGTGTGGCCAGCAGGACCTGGGCAGTGATTTTCACCCCTTACTGGGCACTGGTGAGATCACACCTCAAGTGCTGTGTCCAGTTCTTGGCTCTTCACTACAAGACACTGGGGTGCTGGAGTGTGTCCAGAGAAGAGCAATGAAGCTGGTGAAGGGTCTGGAGCACAAGTCCTATGAGGAGAGCTGAGGGAGCAGGAAGTGTTTAGCCTGGAGAAAAAGAGGTGATCTTATCCTTCTCTACAACTCCCTGAAAGGAGGCTGCAGCCAAGTGGGGATCAGCCTCTTCTCCCAGGCCACCAACAACAGGATGAGAGGAGAGGATGCTTCAAGCTGCACCAGGGGAGGTTCTGGTTGGACATCAGGAGGAATTTCTTCACTGAAAGAGTAGTCAATCATTGGGACTGACTGCCCTGTGAGGTAGTGGACTTATCATCCTTGGAGGTGCTCAAGAAACAGCTGGACATGGTAATTGGTGCTATGGTCTAGTTGACAAGGTGATGATCAGTAAGAGATTGGACTCAATCTCAGAGGCCTTTTCCAACCTAAATGGTTCTGTGATACCAACCTCATTCTTGTTACTTGCTCATGTGCCTCAATCTTAACATGTGACCTATGTAATTCTACCCTCAGTACAAAGTCTGTCTAGAGTATTAATTTCTATACATTGCAGCTCTAGCAGTGTGCATGCAATGTGAATGCAGATCAGTGATTTACAAGTGCCTAAACTCATCAAATGTATTTTTGATGACAGATTAATTTACCATTATTTTTTTTTCTCAAAATAATTTAAAAAATATATGAGTTACCAACAGATTCAAGGCAAAATCCAGAAGTTATAGTTATAGGAAATAAAATAATCTTTGGTGTTCAACAAGCAAGTTGTTAGAGAATTTAAAAAAATAAAGGCAAAAAATGACTAAAAATTAGACACTACATGGATGAATAAAGCATAAAACAGTGGCATGTTGATAAGAATGGTTGAAACAGTAGCAAAAAGTAAAAGAAAGTTCCCACCATCAAAAGAAGTGCAAGATAATTTTGATGTGGAGAGTCCCAATTGACATTCAAGTTACAAGGAGAGCTTAAATTTCTTAAATTTCCTAAATGAAAAATTGAAGAATTCTGAAATGTAGGCTGGATGGAGCAAGATTGGGTATGTATTAAACAGAACAGGACAAGGCAGGCTGGACCTAGAAGGAACATAAGACTGTATCCTGGATTCAGAGCACACAGCCCAGACTTCTGTCTTCAACAGTGGTCATTAGAAGAAACCTAGGAAAAGCAAGAACAGGATAAGCAAGTATAGTAGTTTCTACTCTAATATTTGTCCATGGATTTCTTGGGCATTCTGTGTTTTGTTTATGTAGCAACACCAATGAGTATCTCCACCAAGCTCCGCTCCCATCTCTCAGTGAGCCCATCTAAACTCCTTGTACCTCCAACATCCATTGGTAAGGAGTCCCGTGGATCTGTTACATGGAGAAGCACTGACTTTTGGCATTGCACCAGCAGTATCCCACATCTTCAGAGTACATTTATCAAGAAAGAGGTGACTTAATCTTCCACAGTGATCCAGAAATTCCTGAGTGAATGCTGTAAGAGATAAAAATTGACTGTGATGAGAGTACAAAGCATAACTGACAAATGTTCACCTCCATCTGCACTCAGCAGTAGCAACACTAACAATCCTAATAACTTAATGCTTTTTCTGACTAAAACACCTTTTTCTCACTTTTGACATTTGAAAAACTCAGCAAGCTATAAGGCCTGAAGCAAATTACCTTGTAATTGCACTGGAGCATCTCAGTTTGGTCTGTGGTTATCACAGCCAAAACTGGCTGTCAAAAAACTCAATTTCCTCTGCTCAATGAAATGCACTGCCCAATTTCTGAGGGCAATGATCTCAGCCAAGGAAAAGCTAATTGCTACTAGCTGCTTCCTGAGATAAGACACACCTACAAGTAACCCAGTATGCAACAAAATTGGCAAAGAAAGACACCACAGTAAACATGAAGTCATCAAATCTTATGAATCCTCTGTATCAACAAAATACACAATTGATTCAGTTCCCTACCTTAGGCAACAGAATCTTAGACAAGTCAAACTGACTGTGTAGCCATAGCACAGCAAAAATGACTGGTTGTCTTTTTACTCAAATTTCATAAATTTAGTTAGATGGTGAGCAAATGCAAACAGTTCTAGTAGTACTAACACAGTCTGAATAACAAGCAATTTCCAGTAATCTACTTGCAAACAGTCACAGCTGTTGGGTACTGTGACCATATGAAGGAGCAAATTTATTCCAGCTATGACAATGTTGCCTAAAGTAGTACCATTTTGCAGCCATTAGTCTGAGTTCCAGTAAACTTCTTCCTAATACAAGGGGTTTGGCACCATTTATTGAAAGTGAAACCACTTATAGTAATTGCATTTCTCCCATCAATAAATTCAGGGGATACTGCTAAAGCAATTACTTACAGTAATTGCATTTCTCCCATCAATAAATTAAAATATATTTTCACATTTTATATTATTAACCAGTAATAACAGAATATGATGACCATTTATAGATGAGCCAACAAAGCAGATAAACAAATAAATAAATAATGAAGAAACCCAGCCAGACTAAGTCTAGACTGATATGAAACCACATCTCAACAGTGATTCAAGTTCATGTAGTCAGTCTGCTACTCAGCAGGATCTGTGAGTATCAGAGCACTTGATATCCACAGGCACAATGAGATTCAGATATCAGCAGAGCATGAGCTGCAAATGGCAATTTCTCACTGATACCTTAAACAAAGTGTAATTCTTATCTCAATCTGTTCAAACTAGTTCTGCAATGGGAACAGGGCCTCAAATAAAACAGACCAAGGGGTTTTTTCTTTTTTTTTTTTTAGCCTGGTATTGCACCTAGGACAATAAAATTATTATGACACTACCCAAAGGGGGTGGATCAATGAAAAATATGAGCATAAGGATGACAGAGGATAATGCTAATTACCCATAAAGGAGATTCAAAAGTCAGTCATGGGGGTATGAAAATGAAATTACATCACTAAAAGAAATTGTTATTCACAAGAGTAGCTGGTCAATAAGTATTTTTTCAGCTGGGGATTAGGAATGGAGAGACAGAGCAGGAGACAAATAGACTGGAGGATTGAATAGCTCTGCTGAGCCCAGAGCCCAGCACAGATAGTCCTGTAAACTCTTTTCCATTTGAGAAGACATCATAGCGACCCATACCAAACTGTTCCCAGAAATCCCCATGCCATGGGCCTCAGATCAGCTTGTGTCTCATGGTTGATTTTCCAGCAATTTGATCAGAACAACTCTTTCATGGCTCTGTATTACTCCATGTGTTACCATCAGGGTATCCCTGTGTTTCCAGCTTGCTCTGTTGGCAACAACCTTTTCCTTCAGGGAATCTCAACCACAAATGTGAGAGCACTCCAGGGCATCACCTCAGAGCAGTTACAAACTACTTTTTCATCTGTTTGTGTAGCAGCCTGAGCTGCTCTTAAGTCCCATTGAGGTGATTAAGCACTCAGCATGCCAGGACAGCCAGTCTGTGTGCAGCACAGGCTGTGCACACAGGACCGGAGCATTTGGAATTGGGCACATGCCGAGCCCTCCTACTGATCCTGCAGCACAGAAGAGTAACCAAGCTTCAGCTCTATTTGGTATTCAAAAAAACATTCTCAACAAAGAAACAAAAAACCCTCCAAAACCCCTAAAATACTGTATTCAAAACTAATAGATACCTCTGAGCATGTTGGTTTCCATTTTTTTCTCACAGCTTTCTCAGGCATTACGAAAGGTTGTGAAACTTCCTAAGCTTTGCAGAGCTGTTTGAAAACCTCAAACAAAATGTACTGCACTAATAAAGAGGACAATTTATGCTTTTTAACCTGTATTACTGGTGTAAACTGAAGTAAGGCTGCTCCCAAGCATGAAGCTGTTCAGATATTAATACAGGATATATATTCCAAAAGCATCACTCACAGACTCTGAGTCCCATTCCCCTTATATCACTGCCAGTGCAGAATAGTGCAGGTGATCTGACAAGAGTGGAAGTGTAAGGCAAGAAACATTTTCTCCTTGAAGAAGTCAAAGCACCAGCTATGTCTTCAAGCATCCATAACCCTGATGATTTTACTGTCTATAATTGGATGAAAAGAAGGCAATATTGACTTTGTGTTCACTAATAGAATCACTGCTCTTGACAAGTTGCAGATCCACCAGGAGCTGTACAGGAGACATCATCTACAGCAGCTTGGGGTTTGGTGGCTTGCTGTTCGTGTCTTTATTCACCCAGTGCCACTCATTAAACCTAAGATGCAAACAAATAAATTATTCCTATCACACCAATTATACACTCCATAATGGAGCCAGAGAGCGCAAAGCTGTCAGAAAGCCCTTTCTTTGTAAAGACTCTGCAGCAGCTTTATTTCACAGTTTCTTTCTCTTAGATATAGTTTCTTTATGGGAGTTCTCCATTCTGTGTTAGTAGTGACACATGGCTAGCTGCTTGCCAAGGCAGAAGTTATTTTAAGTTATATTGCTCCAGAGTTTCTAGTCCCTTCCTGTTGAGAATATCTGTATCCATCCATATTTTTCCTTTTTTGGATCTAGTCTTGCAAAACCGATGCATCTCAATGAATCTGTTTTCTGTGATACCTTCACTGACTTCTGTATTTTAACATGAGGAATTTAATATTATCATGTAATCTTATCCATGTGCTCAAGACTTATAAAAGAATTATAGGAATTTCTGTTGCCACAGTGTTCTGTATTCCTACCTTGTTGCTCATACAGTAAGTTGGGATGAGGAGGGCATCCAGACATAAATGTTAAACCCTTTTGTGCTGTGGGTTTGTGGTTTGTTTTTTCTTTAGCACACTGCAGATACATAAAGGTGATCGGATTTGCTGCCTGGTATTTGGGAAATGGCATCTGTAGGATGGTGTGACTAACACCATGTCAGGAGCTAGGTAACTGGGGGAGTGATAAGCAGTTTGGTTTACTCCACACACATGGCATCTGCCTATATGAAGAGAGAGAAGAAAATATTTTGCATCCTCCAAATGATACTAAACACTGCCTGTTTCACCCCCAGGGCAAGCAGGAAGACCAATAAGAATGATTTGTTGTACAAGTCATAATCACATCTCTAAGAATCAGTTTCTTCCAGGAGCTCTTTGTAGAACCCCTTACAGTGGAGGACAGACCTAAAGAGCACCTCATAACTATTAAGGACACCTGATTTGTGCCTTTTTTAAAATGCTGTTCCCCTACTCAAGCTGGTACAAACTGAAAGCTTTCTTAAGCTTGAGGTCCTTTCAAAATCTAGTTTTAAAGTATAAGCATTTCTGATAATTCAATATCCACAGCTCCAACTTGATTTTCATAACACAGTTATTTTTAATTGTTGGCCTCTAAATTGATTAGAGTGTTTGGTGCTCTCAGTATTTGAAACCAAATTTCACTTATTCAGAAAAGTGTTTTACTTTACTAAGAGATACTTTGATTATCTAGTTAGATAATGACTCTAATTTTCTCCATATTTTCTGTTTTTCCTGACATGTCCATTAAATTTTATGGAATCATTCACTTAATGACATGTTGCTTCCATTTTGTCTTTCCACTTTCTACATTTGCTTCTCACTTTAGGACAAACTGTGCCATCACAGCAGAATCAAAAGACCTGCAGCTAACAAAACAAAAAAAAACCCCAGAGTTTGAACCTCAGTGATTCAATAAGCTTTACCAGGCCCAAGATAAAAGACATAGGAATTTAAATTTCTATTTTCAAGCAAAGCATTCAATCATTTTGTTCCTTTGCTATACTACTGATCCTAAATAACACTAAATCCTCACAGTTACAGTTTTCGGAAAAGCAAGGTGGAGGTTTTATTATTTTCTCCAGAAAAAATGTGACTTTGCAAGACTGGGAGAAGCCTGCTGGTCTACCCTGATCTTAGCATAACTTTGGACAAAAAAAAAAAAAAACTTGAATGATTGCTTAAAATCTTATAATTTGGGTTGTTTTCCTCAACACCATATTCTTTGGCACTTGGGCTTGAAGGACTGATATAGGATTGCTTATTTCTGAAATATTTAATTTTGGTTTAAAACAGAGGGCTAAAATGTACCATTTTAGATTCTCCATTCCACTTGAAAATAGAATCATAGAATTATAAAGTAGTTAGGTTGGGAAGGGACCTTAAAGGTCATTTTGTTCTAAACAACCTGCCATGGATTTATTCAGATCCCCATGGTCACTCAGATCCCCATCCAAATTGGCCTTGAACGCCTTGAGGGATGAGGAGTCCACAACAAATAAATAAAATCAATTTATTTATTTATAAAAAAATTAACTGTTGTAATTACTAACATTTTAAATCTATTATATATGTATAAATCTATACAAATTTAATTATCTTATTTCTAATGTACATTTTTTATATTTGTTGGCGATCCTCAGTATCCACACCCTTTTTCCACTATTCTCATAGGATCATTGAATTGTTTGGGTTGGAAGGTGTCACTACAGGACACAAGAAAGCACGATGTGTACTGCTGCTATTGTAAAAGGTAAAAAAGGGAAGTTTATTTTCTGACTCCAGCATTTATAGTTTTCCAAAGGTGACAGTGGATTGGAGGGTGAAAGTGCCACCTCTCCAACAACACTGGACAAATTACCAGTTCATCAGATTTCTCTGCCTCTATGAAGGAATGCAAAAACAATAAGTTATTTACAGAAAGTGTGTGAGAAAGTTTGCTACAAGAATGTAAACTCAGAAGGCTTTAGAAAATCTTAAAAAATCAGTGCGACAGGAAGGGACCCAAAGATCATCTAGTCCCAACCCCCTGCCATGGGCAGGGACACCTTCCACTATCCCAACTTACTCAGAGCCCCATCCAGCCTGGCCTTGAACACTTCCAGGGATGGAGTATCCACAGCCCATCTGAGCAGCCTGTTCAAGTGCTTCACCACACTCTGAGTAAAGAATTTATTCCTAACATCTTTTCTAAACCCACCCTCTTTCAGTTTAACCTCACTTCCCCTTATCCTGTCACTATCTATCCACATAAAAAGTCCCTCTCCCTCCCTTTCATAAGACCCCTTTAGGTACTGGAAGGACAAGGCAAGCTTGGCCTTTTCCAGGTTGAACAACCCCAATCTTTCCATCCCCCTGATCATCTTTGTGGCTGTCCTCTGGGCTCCTCCAGAGTTGTATGCCATGGCCAATGCTAAGCATTAGGGAAGAGTGTCTTCTATGCAGAAACCCATATTACCAGTCCTGAAATAACTTGCAGAGCTTGCAGGGGATGGCATGTTATTTATTAATTACCACACCCAAAATATATTGCAAATCTGCTGTGGGCTTCCAACTCACATGCAGGTCCATTCTTTGAATGTCTTTGTTGTTACCCTTAGTTTGGAACTATTTTACATTATAATTATACTGACCTTTTGGGCCATGACTGGTTCAGGCACTTGCTGAAAAGGAAATGGCTGCTGCCCAACAGATCCAACCTCCTCCCTTCATCCAGGTGGAAAATGACACAAAGCAGTGATTCGAGTGAAATTCAAGCCTGAAAATGAAAAACAGAGGTCAGTGGAGCTCTTCTCCACTCTGATCACCTGAGTTTTAGAAAACCTACAGGTTCTGGAGCTCCTGAAGATTAACAAAGTCATTTAACCACTGCTCTAGTTTCCCTTAACAGCTGCTTATCTCAGGTTCATCTAGGGCACTAAAACAGCCTATTATGAGTTTGGTTTATTCCTGTCTTCTAGGAAGGATGTAAAATCTTGGAGTGAAGCCTCTCTCATGTTCTGAGTTTAAAAGGATATGATATCCATTTACAGTCCTTCCAGACATACAACTGATAGTTTTGACTTATGTTTATGGCATACAATGTTAATGTTAAAATGAAAAATATTAGTTTAAATTCAAAAGTGAAAGTATGCTTTTTAGTTTGTGGAAACAAAACAGGTTGGCTTTTACAAACAAAAATAGATCAATTCTGCAAAGGGCAAAGGCAGTTGCTCTTGTTAGTTTTTGAAATTACTCTTTCTCTTTAATTATTCTTTTAATGAAACTTGAATCTTCCAGCTATAACCAAGTGCATGCATAATTTCAACCTCAACAAATCAATTTTGTCAAGTTTCTACTTATTAAAAAAAAAGCCTGAAAATGTGTCTACTTTTTCTAGCTGCCTCTTAATCTACCAATATAATATCTCATCCTGTCTGACACAGCAGCAGGTAAGAGCTGGGATATGAAATACCCCATGCTGCTCGACACTGCTTGGTTCCAGAAAATTGTTGTTACCTCGACAGCAGCTTTTGTCCAGCCCTCTCCAAGCTGCTCAGGGGAAGCTTAATTAAGGTTTACAGTAACTCTGTAAGGTAAGTGAATACTACTGTCATTTTGCAAAGAAGTCAGACAAGCCAAAAAAAACCTAAAACCAAAACCAAAAATGCTGCCTAACATTAAAAATTGCAACCATATGAAAGCCAGGAGCAGAATTGCAAGAACCACAGTCATGAACTCCAAGTACTAGCACCAGAATAAGCTGACAGTTTAAATGAAAATTCTCATGCTCATTAAGTTAATCACCTGCAGAAATCCTTTTCTGGCAGCTTCTTTCTCTGACTATTCTAACTTTCTCTTTGCTTGGCACATTGTGTAAGAAACCTCTGGCCATAATGGGCAGTCTGTGCTGCCACTCAAAAATTTGACAGTATTTTTTTCTAATTGTAAACATTACCAACTCCACATGATCATTCAGGTGACAAAAGCACTTGATTTCTATTTATCACAAAGCTGATAATCAGACAGCCAAATGATGTTATTTCCACACTGAGGGGTTTGCTGCTCTCTCCATCTGTCCAATGCAGTACCAAAGTCACTCTGCCTCTTGAACATCCAGGGATATTGTCAGCCACCAGGCTATACTTATCAACAATTTCATCCAGGATAAACCTGGATGTTTTTTAGGGGAATATCTTTTATACTTGAAAAATATCTAAGAGGTAGTGGAAGATATGGCAAATACAAAAGAAATATTACTCTAAAAATGTACAGTCAATGTACACATATCATTTACTGGGACGCAGGTTCAAACCAACAACTGAGTTGTGTGCTTGGCTATCTGGAATACTGTGTTCTCAAGACAGTATGCTGTTGCTCTCTATGATTATATACAAAATATAGAAACCCATAAAAGCACTATTTAAGGGTTCATTAATGTTTTGATTAAATAGCTTTTCCATAGCCAGCAAAGTTTGAAGTGACTGTGGGTTTGCAGGAGAAACAAGGCACACACGTAGTAAATTATATTTCCCTGGCATTCTCTTGATGAGAAAGACAAGTCTTAGTCTGTGACTGACAATTAAAACCCTCAACTTTATTGGAGTAAGTTGGGCTCAGAATCCAGGTCCTATATCATGTTGCTAAGGCATAGAATGTTTTATATCTGTCTTCAGATATCTGTCATTCATTGCACAGGATTCTTGGAGGGCTTTATTGACATTAACAAACAAAACCTACACAATCTAAGTGTGGTGTCATCACTGGCACTTCAAGGGAGCTGTGAGAAAACAGTTCTGGGCTTTGGCTGACTGAGAATATCATTAATTGGTTCTTTAGTTGTTTTATTCTCTTAACAAGAGACAGAAGTGGGAAGTTCAGAGAACAGAAAATTAACAGTGATGGATCTAAAAGCCAATAGAAGAATTCTATATACCCATTAGGAAAGCAAGCTGTGAAACCAGTTCTTGAGATAGGAATCAAAAAATGTGTTTCTCTTGAATTTTGGCAGATCACTGACACTGAGAAAAAGTAAGCTTACAATAAAACTCAAGGCATCCTCCAGTCTAATCTCTCGATATAATGCAGGATCAAGAATTACAGCACCAGATCTGAAAGGGATACCCACATACAGATATTCAGAGCTTACCACTCTTACAGGTATATTTTGTTCACTGACATCATTCAGATGCCACTCACATGCCACTAGTATGTTTACATTTTCATTCCTCTCAGGAAGGTCTCCTGTCATTATCAAGGAACAAACCAAATTCACACAGCTGAGGAGACTCACTTAGGAGACCAACCCAGGATATAAAAACACATAAAGAATAAACCACTCCAGTACAAATGAATGTCAAGACTCTAAAAATAGTTATTGCAAAAGTAATTAGGTGAAACAAACAAGGCTCAAAAGAAAACAGCCCTAAATGAGCTGTAGCTGGAATTGCTGAAACGTGCCAAGACTTGTGTGAATAAATATCACAATAATAGGACAAGGCCTTTGTGCTTAGCTAATAAATCAAAGGGAAACACAATTCCCAGACACATGCATTAACCACTGTATCTGTGGAAGAAATAATGCCACATATGAAATGTGCCACTGAATACATTAGGCAGTAGAAAGACAATTCTGTAGACAAAGGGATGTCAGATATCCAGTCGTCTCCTGATCATAGATATTGACTTTGGCTAAGTACACATCACAAAATGGAAAGGACTAAATAAAACAAGACATCTCTTGGAAACAAAAATTACTACATTATCATCCAGAGATTATCAAGGAATAGGACATGTTGAGTTATTTTTTTGGGTTGCAATGTCAGTATTTGATCTATAGTCACAGGCAGTTGAGTAATGATCTTGTCTCACATAAGGGTGAGAGGTGATTGAGGGTGGTGAGACACTGGAATAGGTTGCCCAGGAGGCTGTGGAATGCCCCACACTGGCACCATCTAGAATCATCAAGATCATAGAATTATCAAGGTTGAAAAGGATCTTTAGGATCATCCAGTCCAACCATGAACCCAGCACTACCACTGTAACTCACTAAAAACACATCATCCAGGGCCAGGTCCAGGGGCCTCTTAAGCACCTCTAGGGCTGGTGACATCACCACCTTCCTGGGCAACTTTTTCCAATGCCTGACCATTGTGAAAAAGATTTTTCCTAATATCTGATCTGAATAAGATCAGATATTAGGACCATTTCAGCTTAAGATCATTTCCTCTGGTCCTCTAACTGCAGGCACGATAGAAGAGAGTGGCTCCCACTACACTACACTGTTTTTGCTGGGTCTCCAATAAAAACAGTTCAGATAATTTCACTACTGAACACTATGTCCTCTTCTGAGTCCAAGATCTCACACAATTTTTCAATGAGGAATAAAACCCCATACAGAAGATTTTTTTTACAAATAATTCCAAGTTTTATTTATCATGTTAAATTTGCTAATTAAAAAAAAAAAAAAGTGGGGACACAGCAATGTAACAAAAGCTGTATTAAAATAAATGCCTCAAATATATATTTTTAAATGTCTCTAGGATTATTGACTCTGCTTTTCTTTAAAGCTTAACCTTCATAGTGAGTCTTTATCTCTGTTTCCTTTCTTCCTGTCCTCATTTCTAACATACTTTTTCTATTTTGAATCTTCAGCATGAGAATAAGAAATGTGATTATCACTTCATCAGTCTACAGGGGCAAAAAATCAAAATAACAGCAGCATTTCTGAGAAAATAAACAGCCCACTGATAGTATACTCCAGTTAGTTTGCTCAGTTACCTTCAACCACCTCAATACAGAGGTCTAGTGTTGTTTCCATTCTCTTTCTTGCCTGGCCTCATACCTGTCTCACCTTCCCTTTGATTTTTTTAACTTTTTTACCTTTCCTCACATACATTGCAGCCTGACTTTTAGTTTGACTTCTGCAGGAGATTCCACACCAGGCATAATCTCTTTGTCAATGACAAGTGGAACCAGAAAAGATGGCAGCTGTAATGCTAAAGGATTTTTAGTACAAAACCCTTCTGAACCTTGTTTCCCAAGTTTCCAAGTTTGTCAAGGCTGAAAAAACAAAAAAAATTGGCTCAGATACTTGTTACAGAATCCTCTAACCTGACAGTTGTTTTGGAATTCCATCCAAATCCATTCAAATTCCATCCATATGAAATTGGATTCTATTCTATCTAAAGCCAAATAAATATATTTATGTGAATAAAAAGATGTAGCTAACAGATACAAGAAATAAAATTTAACAGAAATTTTTATAAGATGAAAAGTGTTTCTAGATAAATAGAAATATTTCTCAATCAATATTTGATGGAAACTACTGGGTTGTTTCACCTGAACCATAGAAACTAACACCTGCAATTTTACCTTGCCAAATTTATCTTTGTAATTATAATGATAAGTAAAACCGAAATATTTCCCCAATATAATGGACAAATCAACATTTTTTGAATATGAAACTGTATTTTTGATTGGCTATAATAAAATACATTACAGATAAGATTTTACATTTAAAAACAGTGTTAAATAGCAAAAATCTAACTCTATGCTGGTTCTCTCAGGAGAGCAGACCTTGGCCAATTCAGGGTCCTGCTGGGAGGAATAGCATGGAGACTGTCCTGGAGAGAAGAGAGGTCCAGGATGATCTCTTTTTCCTAGAGAGAAGAGAGCTGGATGATCTTCAAGGATCAGCTCCTCCAAGCTCAAGAATGAAAGAATGAAAGAAGAAAGAACGAAAGAAGAAAGAAGAAAAAATTCTGATGGGCAGTAAAT